GACAGAAAAATATCTCAAAGGATGGATAATAATATGCTGATAGCACTTATTACTGTGCATTACGAGAGTGAATGGTTTTACTTTACTTTATTCTTTATACTATCTGAATATTTTTAAATAATATACAACTCCCTTGCTTTTCTAGTGCTTCTGTAACAGAAATACCACATGTTTTGAATAGCTTTAGCAAACAAGAATTTATTTTCTTACAGTTCAGGAGGCTAAAAGGCCAAGTCCAAAGTGCAGCTCTAGGGTCTGTGTGAACATCCCTTGACCTTGGGCTTCAGCTCTGCCTCCTGTTCCAGGACTCCTGGAGCTGGAAGCTTTTTCTGAGGCAGGCAGCGGCTGGCTGCTGAGGCTGATGAACCCAGGATTGACAAGTAAAATGACAAATCCCAAGGTTGGCAGGCAACATGGCTGACAACTTGTTCAAATCCAAGAACAATCTGAAGATCAGCAGGCCACATGGCAGGCCAAGACTTGTCCAAACACAGGGTCCAGATGTGCCAAAAGGTAAAGACCTTTTACAAAGCTTCTCCTTATATAGTGGAAGCAGACCACTCCCTGAAGGCAACTACTTAGCTGCTCACAGCAGATTCTACCATGGAGGTGATTACAATCTCATCATACGAAATACCTACATCCAGCTGCCCAGTCAGGCAAAACCACGGCCCAGCCAAGTTGTTGATGCACAACTTTAACTATCACAATAACTTTAATAATCAGATGGAAAAATAAAGTTTTAAAGGTAGGAAAGAAACTCATTAAAAAAGCATAGCCTAATGAGTTGCTAAAAAAAGCTCTGGTGGCATAGTGCCTAAAGCATTTGACTGCTAACCAGAAGGTTGGCGGTTCAAACCCACCAGCTGCTCCATGCAAGGAAGACTGGGCAATCTATTTCCATAAAGATTTATTGCCACAGAAACCCAAAGGGGGTCACTATGAGTCAAAATCGACTCGATGGCAGTGAGTTTTTTGAGTAATGAGTTGCTAGGGTGCTCTGGTGGCCTAGTGTTAAAGCATTTGGCTGCTAAGCAAAAGATCGGTGGTTCAAACCCACTAGCTGCTCCATGGGAGAAAGATGAAGCAGTCTGCTGCTTCTGTAAAGATTTACACCCTTGGAAACCCTTTTGGGGCAGTTCTACTCTGTCTTAAAGGGTTGCTATGAGTTGGAATCAACTCTATGGCAATGGGTTTGGTTGTTTGGAATGAGTCAGTGGGCATAGGGGCTCAGGATCATAGTCTCAGGTGACTCTAAGATCATCTAGCATAACATAGTCCACAAAGACAATGTTCTCCATCCAACACTGATGAGTAGTGACTGGTATTAAAAGTATTAAAAGCTTGTGAGCAGCCATTTAAGGTATAACTCTTTGCTCCTCATCCTGAGCAAAGAAGAGTAAAGAAAATCAGTGATGCAAGGAAACAATCCAAAGGACTAATGGACCACATGAACCCCAGCCTCCACAACCCTGACAGCAGGAGAACTGAATGGTGCCCAGCTACCCCATGCTGATAGCTTTGAAAGAGATTATAGTAGGAGGTCCCAGACAGAGTGTGAAAAAAATGTGGAACAAAACTAAAAATCATAGAAACAACCAGGCTTACTGGTCTGATGAAGACTGGTGGAATGCCTAAGACTATGGCCCTTAGACATGCTTCAAGCCAGGAACTGAACACCCTCCCCCCTCACCTTGACTCAACTTTTGGCCAAACAACAGACAAGCCTATAAGCTGAATAATAATACCAAGAAAGTATGCACTTATTAGAACAATCAACCATGTAAGATCAAAAAGGCAGCATTAACCTAGGGATAAAACCCAGAAGGCAGGAACGTATAAGAAAGAAGGACTAAAGGAAATGGTAAACATAGGGAGGAAGTGGGAAGAGTGCTATTACATTGTGGGGATTGCAATAAATGTCACAAAACAAAATGTATATGAATTTTTGAGTGGAAAACAAATTTGTTCTGTAAACTTCACCCAAATCACAATTACAAAAAAAAAAAAGCAAAGTATATCTTAATTGTCTTTCAGGGTTGCAGTAAATTTAAATTATGTAACCAATAAGACTGTGTTTCTGTAAATTGTATAGTATTATAGAAAGACAATGTAATAAATTTTTCTAAGTCTATGATCTCCCTTCCTTGCTTAGAAAATAAATTGGTCTGATTCCTTGAGGTATGTTTAATTTCAGAATTTTATTTTAACATATTATCTGTTGTACCTTTACTGAAAAGTCATTTATAATGGTCAAATTCTAACAATTCTACCACAAGCTCTCATTAAATTTTCTTACAAATAGAAAAATAACACATCATGTGCTATTTTTAACTTAATTATGTCTTTAAAATTTCAGAATAATTCATTGCAAAATGTTGGATTCCAAGAAAATTTTTGGGGAACTATAAAGCACCTACAGAATTCCTTACAGTAAAAGCCAAGATACAAATAATTTTTGCAAGTTGAAAACTTATCAGAAAGCACAAGTGGATTATAAATATAGTTTGTCAATCTGAAAAATTTTTAAAAATCCTTTAAAAAAATTACATAAACTACATGTATGACATATTTGATCAAATCTAATCTGTAAGATTCATCATTTCTTTTGGCCAAAACATAGAAATATTTTATCTGAAAAATCCACAAGTAGTAATGATCAGTTTGATTTCTTCATAAAGATTCTTTTATAACTTGGGCTAATCTCTGAAAAGCCTACAATAGAAAAGAGAAAAGAATTAATGAAATTAGGATGTTACTTATGAGAAGTCTGCCATATCTGAAATTCAAACAGTGTATCTTTCTTAGGTTGCCATAAACCAAAAACCAAACTCAGGGTTGTGGAGTCTGATCCAACTCATAGCAACCCCTCTGTGGGTTTCCAAGGTGTTAGCACTACAGAAGTAGATTGCACAATCTTCCTTCTGAGGAGTAGCTGGTGAGTTTGAACCGCCAGACTTCTGGTTAGTAGTCAAATGTGAAAAGTCAAGTTTAATGTTAGTTCTGTGTCTTTGTGGGGTGCGATCAGTATCTACTTACGTATGGAAAAATAAGAATGTCATATTTTCAGGGTTTTTATTGTGGTTGCTGTTGTTTTTTGGCCCTCAAGATAATTGTTTTTTTTCTTTCCTCCACAAACAAATTATTTTTATAGACCCATATAGAACTTTATGGAATCTTAGTATTTTATTGAATCTTTCATCTGCATATGCACTTTATATAGTTTCAGTTCAACTCCTTTGACATATAAAAGCAGAGAGCTAATGAAAAGTATTCTTAATGACATATGAAAGCAATTAAAAAAAAAAGAACCAACAGATATGACCATCTCCAAGGATAAATGAACTCTTCTCAAGTTAACGGCCCTGTTAAATGTATGGCTCTTCTCCTAAGATTCCTAGACACAGTTCTTAGGATCTTGTTTATTTGATTCTTATTAATATGGTTAAAGCTAGACTTTGTGATTTGTACTTCCAGTCAAGTTGACTCTGACTACAAGTAGAACTGTGATCCACAGAGTTTCAATGACTCTCTTTTTGGAAATTTCTTCTGAGGTGCCTCTGGGGGGACTCAAACCTCCAACTTTTTGATTAGCAGCCAAGCATATTAACTGTTTGTACCACCCAGGGACTCCTGACTTTGTGATTAACTTAAGAACAGTATTCTATTTTACCCTAGCTGATACTATTTTCTTCAGAGAAAGAGACTGATGACTACCACGAATTTGTACTTTTGGTCCATGTTAATTCCATGAAGGAAGGAAAAGGAGGTTCTCTCCATAACATGTTGGTAATCTCCAACACTGTAATGTCTGAGAAATTATTTATGAAGACAACAAAATTTAACTCCAACTTATTCTCACATTTGTAGAAGCCTAGCAACAAAGTAAAATGTATCTTTTCATGGTAGCTCATGACTTTTATTTGGTTTTTATAAACCCAAGAAGACATTAAATAACATTGGAACTCACAAAACGAGCTTTGTTGGCACAGTGGTTAAAGCATTTGACTACTAATCAAAAGGTCAGCAGTTGGAATCGACCAGCTGCTGTGCGGAAGAAAGATGAGGTAAGATGAGCTGCTTCTGTAAAGATTTAAAGACTTGGAAATCCTAAGGGGCAGTTCTACTCTGTCCTACAGAGTGTCTATGAGTCAGAGTGAATAGATAACAGAGGTTTTATCTGTTTGTTTTTTTTTGGAACTCACAAAATGAATATATGTACCAAAAAATAGAATTGATATCAGATGTGACTTGAAGGAAATCTTGTACTTACCAAATCCATCTGCTCTGAAGAAGCCATAGAGAAGGATGCTCTAAAGTAAGGAGTAGGAGCTGAGTGATCAATGAAGAAAGCATATCCAGGTACCATTAACACCTAAGAGAGTTTATGGAAAATACGTGATTTACCACTAACAGAAAACATATGCATACCTGATCTCAGAGTGGGGAAGGACTTTTTAAGTTTAAAAGCAGCTGAAGAAACCACAAGAGGAAAATCAATTTCTATAAAAATGCTGCACATCATA